TCTGTAAGCAGGGCCATAAAGATGAGGCTAAAAAGAACAGAATGTTTCCTTCCTGCCTTCCTTAACAGGATTAGCCCTGTAAAGTGGAAAAAAACAAAAGGAGATTTCTTCCAACAACCAGTTATCCGAACCACTTAGAAAGTTAACAACCGGTTCTCCCAAATAGGTGCGAACTGGCTGAATCCCACCACCGGTAGTAGCATTCTAATCCTGTATTCAATAATTGAAGGAAAACAGATGTATTCATAGGCCATATTCATTTGTTCCTCACCCACCAAGTTTGTAAACACGTAACTCCTTGGTATGAAAATAGGCAAAGGCCTGAAGTTTTCTTACCTTCAAGAGATGCCTGCACAGATCAAATGCCTAGGGTTTTTTTGGGTGGGGGAGGTTTGTATAAAAACAGGCATGTATCAGAGGGTTTTTTAGGGATTTAAAAACTCCTTTTAGATTCAAAAATGTGTCCAGATATCCACCCCTAAACCTAGTTTAGCTTGCACTTGGGTATATCTTCAGGAATCAGGAAATATCTCTGAAAACAAGGGCATTTCTCCCTCTACTGCAGTATGATGGGTGGGGGGAGACCCCATCCTTTTTGATTTCTGTATGTAGGATCCTCCCCATTCAATTCAGGATGACGGTTTCAAAATGAGTTTAACTTTACGGAATAGAGGACTCACAAGATTTAAAGTAATAGAGCAGGCAAAAATCAGGGAAGAAAAGATACTTAAGGATGCAGTTCACGCTACAGTCTAAAAACCATAATGGGTTTTTAAAAATTATATACACAACAATGTGAAATCACAATTGCCAGCTCTGTAGCTGGTGCTGACCTTCATACGCATTGAGTTTGGATCAGGATGAATCAGCATAGTATATGTGTAGATCCAAGCTGTGTGGCCTCTTTGCAATCAAAAGATGTAAATTTTGTCTATAATTATATTATTATCATTGCTTTACAATTTAAGCATACCCAATAATTGCAGTTTATAGATGATTTATATCTTAGCATGTTATGCAAATCCAGCCAAGTCCAAACCACAGTTAAACTAGCACATAGGCATGAGTCTCTGAAGTTGCTTTACAGCTGTTCCATTTCTTAAAGAATAGAAGATTCTTTCTTAACTTCTTTCATTCATGTGTGTTTTTCTCTTTCTGGTTTTGTTTTGTGAATCTATTTCATTTAAGGCCATTTTCCATGAGGTTAGGATTACTCACCTAGTTCAAACTGGTCGGAAAGATTGCCACAGGCTTGTCTGACTTCTTCACTGTCCCAGCCCAGAGGATAGAGAGCACACCCAGAACCAATCAACAAACCTACAGGTGAAAGAAAGCAACATAATTTTAGCCAGACTACATAGCCAATGAATGAAGGTTGGAGGCAGAATCCTCATTTTCTGTTTATCTTTCTGTCTCTGTGTCCACAGTTGGTGGACCATTGAGAAAAGAGTGGGCTACTGAGTGCTCTAACTTTTTCTCTACTGAACAACTAAAAAAATCCAAATGTAATGTTAATCCTTTGAATTTATAGAAAGACTAGCTGGATACCTGTACTTTGCGACGAAACTATGTGATCGGACAATCCAGGAGAAATGCAATTCATTCTGGTTCAATCTTTTGGCTCAATGGTATTCGGTGATTGAAACACATAAGGGAATATCACTCCCGCCTTCTTGAGTCCGGAAGCAGTTCCAGAGGTGGAAGGCGTTGACATTTTGGTGAGATACGACATTTAGTATTGTAAGGAGCCCCAGATCACTCCTGAGTGAAGAAGTGTAACGTCTGCCAGTTTGAACTGAGGTAAAGGAATGTGAGGTAACTAGCAGATGGATCAGAGTTCTTTTCAGGTGGGGAGGGGAAGTAGAACTCCTTAGCATCAGAGCATGTTAATTACTGTATAATACTAATGATCTGATGGTCATTTCGAAAAATCCTTTCTTAGCGAGCACCTAGAAGCCAAGAGGAACATGCTTGCCAAATTTCAAGTTTGTAGGCTTTACAGTTCTGGAGATTTCGTGATGAGTGAGTGGTATTTGCCTTTTATATAGAGAGATTAAAGGATATGAGTTGAAACATCATGTGCTATGTTGACAGCAAGGGGGAAATTTGTATTGGACCAAAGAAAAACTGACCGAATTGCTGATCTTAAGAGTTTCCATCAGGTTTAATTTAGCTTAGGGTGATGTTATGGGCACATGCAGTATGTAGTCTTCCTGACAACAATATGAAATGGTTCACAATTGCCTTCTTCCAGAATGTGTAATATATCCCTAATACAAATGTTGAGAAGAGCAATCTAAGTGAAGATGTTATCCTATCATTGTTATGTAATTATTATTTTTGTGATTCACCCTGCCCAGCATTCCTGCATGCATTTATGATTCTTGATATCTTGATAAATTCTTCAGAAGTGTTTGCCTCTAAGAATACATAATCTAAATCTAAATGTATTGGGTGCCTTAATTTATGCACTTGGAAGCAATTCCTTAGGCACAGCCATCAGTAAATGCAATGCATTTAACATCAAATCAATAAACCTATCCAGGCAGATTATCTCTAGTTATTCCTTTGAAGCGTTTTTTGGGATCTGTTTTGCATTCATTTCAGCTTTACATCACAGTCCACCAGAAAATGGTTTTCCTTACATCAGCTGCACCAGAGTAATATTTTTAAATTGATTTTTTCTATTTTTTCTAAGAACCAGCTTTATTTAAGATCCGACCAATTTTACTTAACTTATCATCCAGCACAATTTCCTCTCTCCTGCCCACTTTGAAGCCTCAAATACTGAAATCAAATAGGAAAAACTAAGAGCCAATTAGGGCTCCCTCCAGCTGACTAAAGTGACAAACCTCGCAATAATGCTTGTATCTTTACAATTTATATTTTTATTTGTTTCCTAACATGATTTGATTGCTTATTAGTAACCTGTTCTGACCCCCCCTCTTCATACACCAAAGCACGCCGAGACAAANACACACACACACACACACACACAGAGGCAGGCAGATTGGTCAAATACCTGAAAGCTGTACATTTTTTTAAAAAACTGATCCAGGAGGCTAACATTTGTTGTGTATGTTTGAGGGGAAAGTGTCTGTGCAAATGTAGGAAGCTGTGCTTTTAGTCCCACAAAGAAAGGCCCCTGCCTACTTCAGATTCAAATCTGAGAGAGAAAAAAAAAAACACCACCATACTCTGCAAAAGGCCAATCCGCCAGCCCGTGATGCCCTTAAAGGCAAACTGTGTTAAGGCCTAAAAACAGGTCTCCCTATAGATACGCAAGGGATAGCCACACTTCTAAGAAAATTGGCACTTGTTCCACAGTACAAGCAGGTTGCAAAGGGGAAGAAACGCTCCCTTTCTTCTCTATTTGCTGAGAAACTTTTCTAAGGCCCAATCCTCGTCTTTGAAGACAATGTTCTTCAACTCTCTTCAACTGATAGTGTGCTTAAAATCCTATCTTTTTTCCCCACCCTTCATGAGAGGGGATACTTCATGTGGTTGGCCGATGCCCATAACTGGCAAAGAAGAATATAGTTAGAACCTAGGGCCCCCTAAGATTCTGAGATCCTCCTTAAGACCCAGAGAAACTCCTTCCTATTCACAGTATCACACATCAGTTCCAACTTCACTGACTTTGTTTGCATTTATCTGGCTACAATAAAGAGTTAATATGCATTTTCTCAAGAAAACATACAAACTGTTCCCCACCCCACCCCTATCCCCAAAACTTGTTTTCTTTTTGTTCTGTTTTGCTCTGGCTTTAATAAGGATATTGTTTTTGTTTCTTGCCAGAGAAACAGGCCAGCCAAGTGCATATCAACATCGCCCCTGCAGCTCCTCCTCCTGTACAATAGTAAGCCCAGCCAATTTCACAGGTGCCTGCAGGGGAGACAAAAGGCACACAAAGACAGTATTATTGGAAGTCGGGTCCTCCTTTTCTCTATCTCCCCCCCCCCCCCCTTTGGATTACTATCGGTAGTAGCCAGTGGTGGGATACAAATAATTTAACAACCAGTTCTCTGCCCTAATGACCAGTTGGGTAGGCATGGCTCGGTGGTCATGTGACTGGGTGGGTGTGGCCAATTCAACGTCACTCACATCAATGGGCGCTTCGCATCAACTGTTACAATGTAATAAGGGTTAACCAGAGAGGCAGTTTCTGTAAGCAGGGCCATAAAGATGAGGCTAAAAAGAACAGAAGAATGTTTCCTTCCTGCCTTCCTTAA